GTTGTGTGCCGGAAGAGTTAGTTGTCGTGCCGCCTCCCCCACCTCGCGTCCGCACGGGCTGCAGTCGGTAGCAACCTTTTGAGGGAAAGGAGTGAAAAATGGCCTTTTAAAGCAAAAAGAAATGTAATCTGAAATATTTCAGCCTGACGGTATTAGTGGTCGGATGGACGGGGAGCGTTAGGAAGTACCCGCTGCTTGGCCATGGCATTTGCTCAGTGCCATGACATCATCCTAGACCAACCCTGAAATTATACCAGCAAGCCCTCCCCTTCTTGTTTTACCCTGCCTGAACGGTGGGTTTTTTTCCTTCAATACCACCATTTCTCGATCCCCGGAATCGCTTCGGATTTCTACGTGCACAAGACGGACAGTGTGTGTGTGTGTGACCACAGCTAAAGGTTGTGAATGGAGGGAAGAAGCAGCAGCAGTGCCAGTAGCCAGAATTTTTCTGTGTGGTGGTTGCTGCTGCTGCTGTTAAAATCTAAAATGATGCTATGGCATACGGACTTGTGGCCAGATGCTTCCTGGGCTGAGATTTAGGGGGAGCATCTGAGTTCCATCTTTTGCAGGTGTGCTTCTGGGTAGCCATAGCCTGAGTGCTGCCCAGGCCAGTGGCCCCTGCTCCCCTTTCCTATCCTTCTCCCCCCAATTTAAAGAGTGACCTAGAAACATATGCATTAGAGGACTTCATGCAGTGCACCTGACACAGGCAGGATCTCTGGTCTCCTGGAGACCCTCTGCCTTGTGAATTTTTCTTTTGTATGTGTACATGTGTGTGCATGCACCCACTACAGTGCCAGCACTGTTGCCTGCACTGAGCAAATAGAAGTACCAGTTAGGTTGGCTGGAGGGAAGAGATGATGAATGACTTGTGTCATAGTCCAGATGTGTATTTTACCCATCAAACTGTATATATATATGTGTGGTGAATATATTCACATTCTCTTACTCCCTGTGGAAAGCTGCTGCACCTTCTGTCCTGCTTTCAGCAGCTGAATATTCTTCCTTGAATATGTCATCCCTGGGCTGCTTGGGTGGCTTGAAGGTATTGCATGGCTCCTACTTGGGAGCTGAGGAAAGATGCTGGTGTGAAGGTGTGGACTGTGAGCTCTTCCCAGCCCTCTAAGCTCAGGGGAAGACAGGTAATGTCCCAAGGTCACTCCTAAGTCTCATGGGAGCCTCCTGTGGACCTGGGACTGTGCCTACCTTCATTCCTTAGTCACTTGGATTTGCTACATCTCTCTGCTTCAGTGAACAAATGATGATAAAGATCAAATTACTACTGGGTGGGGAAGGTGGTAGGCTTTTTGGAGAACTTTTTTTGGTTTTCTGTGGAACACGCTCTCACACAGACTGTGTCTGGGCTCAGGCTGGGAGGGCTTAGCTGCACACTTTGCTGTGCTTGTACTGCTCACCGAAAGTGTCTTTGGGGAGAAAGGGAAGTCCCACCTGGTAGGTCACTACGTTAGCCAGCAGGCCTTTGGAAAAGTTCATGGTAGTATGGGTCATGCAAAAGCTTTGCTGTCCCCATCTTGTGCACACAAATCCCCAGTACGGAAGGAATTTCCCAAAGCAGCACCTTGGTACCGCAGGAGGTGTTCCTGTGTCCTTAGGTTCTGAGGTTACGTGGTGGGGGAGAAGTTTCCCTGTGTTTACAACAGAAATACTTTATTTGATTGCAGTTAACCTTATGATGGGCTTTCCCTTAAATCTTTCATTTCCCCCTGTTCATGTTCCAACATGGGAATCTAGAAGCAAAACTGCTAAATTGAAACCTATTGCCCAGAACATGAAGGATGCCAGTGTACGTGCTTGGGTTTGGAGCGCCGGCGTGGCTGCCAGCACTCTTTTTTTATCACTGTGCCTTCGATCACCACGAGGTGGCTGGATGATGTCAGTGGGTACTGGTGCTGAATGCTGATGCTCTTCTGGCCAAGGGAAAACTTCTCTCATGCCTGTCCCCTTGTCTGCTGCTTAGGTTTCCGTGGGGAGGACAAGGTCAGGCATGTGGCTGATACAGGGACAATGACCTAAACATGTCTGAAATTTATAGTGTGAAACCAGAATTCAGATTTTATGCATCTCTGCATGTTAATTTACTCTTTCAGTAGTGTCTTAAAAAAAAAGCATCCTGTGTGAATGGGTGCTCAAGATCACACAGGGTTAAAAACTAAGCAAGCCAACGTGCTTTGATGGTTTCCTGCATCGCTGCTGACCATCACTTGGTTTCTCAGCAGCTGGGCACTGCTCCCTGGGCACAGAAAGGTTATGCAGTTGAGAGCCAGGTGGCCTGTATTGCAGAAAATCAGAAAATGGGACTTCTGACCCCAAATTCAATAATATGGAATGCTATTTGGGTGTAAAAATTTCCGAGTGTGGGATTTAATGAACACCATCCCTCAACACGAGAGGAGGGCAGCATTATAGAGGAGGAGCACTGAGTCTGGAGGCCAGGGGCTGTGCACGTTCGTAGAATCACAGAATGGTTTGGGTTGGAAGGAACCTTAAAAACCAACGAAGCCCCCCCCCCTGCCATGGGCGGGGACACCTCCCACTAGCCCAGGTTGCCCAAAGCCTCATCCAGCCTGGCCTTGAACCCCTCCAGGGATGGGGCATCCACAGCTTCTCTGGGCAACCTGGGCCACTGCCTCACCACCCTCACTATGAAGGATTTTCTTAATCAGCTGAAAGCTGTGACCCCTCATCCTGTCACTACACCCCTTGATCAAGAGTGCCTTCTCTTCTCCAGGCTGCACACCCGCAACTCTCTCAGCCTGTCCTCGCACCATCTCCGTGGCTCCTCTGGCCCCGCTCCAGCAGCTCCGTGTCTGTCCTGTGCTGAGGACCCCAGAGCTGGGGGCAGCACTGCAGGGGGGGGCTCACGAGAGCGGAGCAGAGGGGGAGAATCCCCTCCCTCAACCTGCTGGTCATGCTGCTGCTGATGCCCCCAGGACACAGTTGGTTTCTGGGCTGCAGGCGCACGTTGCCGGCTCATGTGGAGTTTCTCATCAACCAGCACCCCTGAGTCCTTTTCCTCAGGGCTGCTCTCAATCCATTCTCCCTCCCAGCCAGCCATGTTGTTTCACAGCTCTTCTGGTGGCAGAGTCTGGGACCCTCAAGTCCTTGTTATTCACCTTTAGATCAGGATATTGTGGATTGAGGACAGACTGGCATTTCTAAAAGGATGCTCTCCACTTGGAAGTTGGATCTCTTTCAAAACAAGCTCAAGTAGTTCCAGCGAGTGTAGGGGTTACAGACAGGAGACTCCAGACGTCCCAGTGATTTTAAGTGTGATTCCCCTGCCCTGTTGCTCTGCAAAAGCATCATGTGAATAAGAAGGAAACTGGACAGACTGGCAGATAAAATAGTGAAACGGGCTATCCACAAACCAACAGGCTGTGAATAGACTGTTCTAGTCTTTCAGTGATGCTTTGATATTACTCAGGTTAAAAAAAATAATGAAAAAATGAGCAAGTGTGGTTAAGAAAGCTGAAGGAGCTTACCTGTGGTCGTAATTCAAGCAACAATTTTAATAGTCTTTCCTGGACCACCTTTCTCTTTGGTTATTGTGCAGATTAACACTACCACCCCCCCCCTTTTTTTTTTTTTTTTTTTTTTGCATAACAGTCTTGTGGCAACAGTAACCGTCACTCACTTGGAACAGGGGTGGAAAATATGCTGCATATTTCTGCTGTTGCAGTGGAAGATACTATCTGAAATGGAGATCAGGTTCCCACTACATCTCCATGTTATTTTGCAGACTATCAGTGATCCATAAATTAAAAGTTACAACTAGAAATCTAATCCTTGAAGCTCATAAAGCTGCTGTTTAAAAAGAAACATAGAGGTTCTGCATGTTGATAAGACTCCACCTATCAATGTTTTCAAGTGAAAGGTGTTTTTTGAATATGTGCAGAGATGCATTGATCTGCATTTCTGGATCTTTCCTGCTTGACCCCTTAACTCCCCACTGCCTCGTGCACCTCCTCGATAGCTGCTTTTAGAGTTTTCAAATTAAGTGAATTAAATTAATAGTTAAAACTTCATAGAAAGATCAGACAGCGTGGAGTCTATTGAAGGCCTCGATATTCGCTTTGAAATCCAAATGCCAGCAAAAGAATTACATGATCTCCTCCGGGGTCTGCCAAGCCCAATGTGTAGGTACGTGTGGGCAGGATGCTCTGGACGCGCCCGTTCCAGGGATCCCAGGGCAGTGTGACTCCACAGCCAGGTGTGTTCGGAGGATGGCTGTTCCCTCGCAACCTCTTCTGCTGAAGCAATGACATTTTATTCCAGATGGTTGAGTTTGTCCTGATGGATTCATCTGGCTGCTGCCTGTATAGATCTTTGCTCTAAAAGTACAGAACTTTTTCTTCCTCGTGTCAAAGCTCTCTTCTTGCTGGGAGAGGCTGAGGCAGTGCCTCGCTCAGTACTGTGCTTCATCCAGCAAAGGGGAGCTCAGTGTTGTGTCTGGTTATCGAGAGGGAGAATAGCTGTCCTTTAGGAGAGTGCTCAGTGTCTTGGTTAAACACCATAGAAAAAAGGACTGTAAGGAGCTGCTGGTTTGGAGAAGAAGTTGTGAGCCCAGCTTCCTTATGTAAGGCAAAAATCTTGGAGGGGTGAAAGAGAGAAAGTTTGGATTTTATGGCAAGTGAACTGCCTGTGGGAGTAGGTTGGAAAAGACATCTCTCTTCTCAGTTCTGTGCGTGCCAAAGATACAGAGAGATAAGAAACTGAGAAAATGTCATACCTTAATAAAACTCTTCTGTTTTATGCAGGTCTTTTTTTGTTTGTTTGTTTCTGCTGATGACCTGATTGATTCTTGCATGCTGCAGATAGAGCTTCAGGAAACTGCAGTTTTCTGCTCTAGAGAATCATGACGTTTTCCAGATATGTGGAGAACAAACTTTGCAATGAGCAATTCAGTTGTCATCTTTTTTCCCCATCATAATAGATGGGATTATGTTTGTGAAATACTTCGTAAAGTTCCAAGTGCCTTTGTCTAAGAACACCAGAAAGGTGATTACTGGAACTTCCCCACATTTTCTTTTTAAAATGGTTCCTCAAGCTGTTCATTTATTAGGGGCTTAATCTTTAAAACCATAATCCTTTATTCATTCATGTGTTGACATGCTCAGTCTGAAGTACTTCTCTGGTACTGCACTGGTCATATTCCGTAACTGATGTTAATTTCTTCCAGTTTCATCCATGCTCTGACATCACCACTTAGAGACCTTGTCTTCAAAGACGGAGTTCTGGAGAGTGTTGGTCTTGATTAGAGATTATGGTGATGAATTAGGTCTTTAGCATGAGCAGGCTGAATGCAGATGTTAAATCTACAAGATGTCCACCACGTCTACTGTTCTCCTCTCTTGTCTTCAGGAATGAAGTGCTGCTTTTGTTTTCCTCTGACTTTTTCATGTCTCATCTTCTGCTGCAAGGTTTTATCAGCTAGTGTTATAATTAGTAGTCCTATTGTTGGGGATAAATATCCCAGACCTCATGTGAAATTTTTCAAAGATGGGATTCCTGTCATGATAGAGACAAGCTGGGCGAAACTGGAAATGGGGTGCACAGGAGCAGCAAAAAAATAAGGATAAAAGTTTAATGATTTTTTGCTGCAAATAAAACAAGGGCACATTCTAAATCTCATTAGAGATGGGACCAAAGGGGAGACTGGGAAAGTTGCTAGGAGATTCTTAGATCTATTTTTTCTTATGCTCTTGCTGTTTGCTTTATTCTGCCAACTTCTTGGAACGGAGTGTGCCATGCGGAACGTCCCACTGCTCACAAGAAGGCTGGGCCTCAAAAATAGCACATCCACGAAGATCTTGTACTGCTGCGTGGTGGTTACTGTCTCTCCGTGTCTCTGCAAGTCCCTGACCAAGTCTGTTCTCTGCAAGTTGTGTGTCATTTCACATAGCAAACGGCATATGTGGAATGCTGGGGGTTTGCCTGTCTACCTGACATCCGTCTCTTATAATTAACTTGGACGACTTCTCAGAGGAACTTTCATTACCTGGAAGCTTCTGTCAGAGATCTTATTCTTGCTGAACTTGACTGAAATGTGCAAGTTTCTACACACGCTTGCCAACTTCTGCAAAGTATGGCTGTCATTGTTACACTTAAAAAAAAAAAACCACAATTTTCTAACTACAGCAATACCCAGGCTAACGCTGTGCTTGTGTTTCTCAACTCATCTCTACGATCCCACGTGCTCCTGGTACCTGGCTTAGATCTGTTTCGTTACCTACTCTCAAGCATTTGCAGGCTGCTATGTTACACCAGTTGCTGAGGTATAAGTATATATTCAATCACCTTCAAAATAACATCCCAAAATTCTTTCCACAAGGAAGATGTGATTTATGTAGCACTCACCCCGCAGTTGATGTTTGACTTTGCTGATGTGGTGAGCTCCCCATCATCGCTTCCTGGGAAGGCAATCTGACACAGCACGGTAGTCAGGCAAATTCTTTGTTTTCTTTGCAATCAGATGCTTCCTTTTCTCTCCAGGGTTGTCTTTGGAAAGGCTGGAGAAGGACAGAGGCTGTCCACTTCTTGTTTCTCTTCTGGGACTCTGGCTATAATTTTCTTGGTAGCTATTTACTGGAAATTGTTGTTAGTCTATTTCAAGGTGAAGGCTTTGGAGAAGACCCTTCCTAACCTCCTCTTCCCAATCCTCCAAGTGTTGGTAGTCATCTGAGCTGAGACAGGTGGCAGTGTGCTGTCAGCCTCGGGTGGCACATCACTCGTGGTGTTAAACTTGGTTGATGATTTTGGAGCTCTTGATCACCGCTTCCTATCAGCTACTAGTCCTGAAGCACAAGGTTGCTAACAAGTGGTCTTGGTTCGCTGCTCAGTAAAGCACCTGCTCTTCTTCTGGTGAACTTGAGCCTTCCCAGGGCTGTAGGTGCATCCCATCCTACGTCTGAACTTACTTGGAAGATCTCTGAAAAACGGCCTTTGAATGGCAGCGGGACTGTAGTAGGTGTCAGTTCCTTCTCTGCTGCTGTGGAGAAGTTCCTTGGGAAGGCTGCAGGAAGGACTGTTGGTTCATGAAGCTTCAACAATCGCCTTCAAAGGGATGAGCTTTTTGCTTCACACTTGTTAATGGGAGAGGGAGAGGTCCCCTTGTACAGCATCAAGGACTGCAGCTCTCCACGTGTGCTGAGGGCTCCAGCTTTTGGCTCGCAGGACTATCACACAAAATATCAGCACATCTTTATATGTGACATTCCTGGGACTGTATTAAAAAAAGAATCAATCCTGAACACTTTTTTCTTTTGAAAGGGAAGCATTACCATTTGCATTTTCTTCTGAAAAAATTTGGCACACCTTACTGGAGTCTTTTCCTTCCTTTCCCATGGATGCACTTAGGTGTGGAAATGAATGTGGAACTTGTGAGTTTGTTTCAGCTGAGCGGGGTTTAAAATCTGCTTAGACCATCTGATCAACCTTGTTAGGAGCACCCAGTTCCAGTACAGCGTTCCCTTGTTAGAAAACTTTCTATTCCAGTAGGGAATAAGCGCAGTCTGACTTCCTCTTGAATTTCAAGAAGAAATTTTGAAGGAGGCTACTTGTTGCAGGAAATAGGTATTGAGGGGCTGAACTGGAACCACGGTGACTTGAGGAGGAAGGAAAGGATGGGGGAATGGGGGGGTCTTAAAATGGATGCCATCTTGTGAGTCCATGTCACCCTTGGGATTTGAGTCCTGTGTCTGAAGAAGGTTTTCCAACAGCCACCTTTGCTTCCAGATCTCCTCCAGTGTTTCCTGGAGTGATGAGTAACCTGCTGTTTCCTTTATTTGTAACATGACATTTTTCTGCCATGTTACTGAGATCGCACATAAAATTCTCATTAAAGACGGGGGTGGTGGAAATCAAGAGAGAGAAACCTTATGACCCTGGTTTGTGATACTAAACAGTAGCACCCTCAGAAACCTGAACAGCACTGCCTGAACGTTGATTTCTAGGAGCAGAGCAGAGCAGGGGCTGGGTCACAGGTAAGTGGAGATGGCTGGTCCATGAAGAAAGCCACGTAGCACTTCTTCCCCTTTTCCTGACATCAGGTTACAAGACAGATCCACGAGCATGAGCAGGAGAACGAGTTGCGGGAACAGATGTCAGGATATAAGCGGATGCGGCGCCAGCACCAGAAGCAGCTGATCGCCCTGGAAAACAAGTTGAAGGCCGAGATGGACGAGCACCGCCTCAAGCTGCAGAAGGAGGTGGAGACGCACGCCAACAACTCGTCCATTGAGCTGGAGAAGCTGGCCAAGAAGCAAGTGGCTGTGATGGAGAAAGAGGTGAGTAGAGTTACAAGCTCCCTAGCTGTACAGGAAGATTGGAGGGAGAGGTGGTTTTGGTGGAGAGGTGAGAAGCATGAGGAAACTCCTAAATGTGTGTGGGTATTATGGGTTTTTTGTGCAAGCAGCTTTCATTTGGCTGAATACTCATGGCTTTGTGTAGCACAGTGATGGGAGAATGACAGACCAAAAAATGCACAACAGAGGGCTGATTTGTGCTGGATTCAGTACCTGCTCCCTCACCTTATTTTCTTCTCTCTGTACCTTGCAGGCAAAGGCAGCTGCAGCAGATGAAAAGAAATTCCAGCAACAGATTTTGGCTCAGCAAAAGAAAGACCTGGCGACCTTTTTAGAAAGTCAGAAGAAACAATACAAGCTTTGCAAGGAAAAGATAAAAGAGGCAAGAAACCATAATTTTCGGGGCTGAAGGAGTGTGGAATGAACATGAACTAAATTTCTGTTTTGATAAACCTGGGCCAGCCCAGGGTTTTAAGGGATACTGTCGTGCTTGGAAGCAAATTTAGATTCTCAGCAAGTAAACTTTCAGGAACTGGGAGCATCTGGCAGTATTTCTAGAATAATCTGTAAGGGTGCTAGAGGTGCCTTCACAATTTCCTGTAGAGCAGAATCTGAAACCAAGGTGATGAGCGAAAATGGGACTTCATAGAGAATTCTTCTTCCCCTTTTTCCTCATCTGTTTTTTTTTTCTTTTGCTTAAGCTGTAAGTAATCAGAGCAGCCATTTAGATGTCACTTGACTTAAAAGCCCTGTGATCACTTACATGAGTTAGAGAAAGGAGTAACTTGGTATATAGCTTATCTGTCCCAGATTGCGTTATTTAAGGACAATGTCCCCACCGCATCGCAAAATCATTTGCTGTTAAGAATGTAGAGGCGAGAAAATGAACTGCAAGGAGCCCTGTTAGGTGTCTGATTGGAAATAAAACTTAAGCCCAAGCTGGACTCTGTTGTAAAAGAGGTGCAGAGCTGAGAAGGGAGCCCAGGGGTGTGACCCTCTCTCTTCCCTGCAGCCTCCCCTGCTGTGGAGTCTTACTGTCTTGTCATTGCTGCGCTGCTTAGCCCCTGAGATGTTTCTCCTCCTCCTCTTGGGTTATAATACAGCTCCAGAGGCGGTAGGGCTGGGCACAGGCAGGTTTGCTTCTGCTGGTACCTGGCGGTGTGGTCAGGGTTTTGGTGTCCTTTCATGAACTGAACGGCAGGGACTGAAGGTCCTCCAAGTCCTGTGTCACTGTGGTCCTAAGGGAAGTCTTGGTTTTGACCCCGTGTGCATGCAGGAAATGAATGAGGACCACAGCACGCCGAAGAAAGAGAAGCAAGAAAGAATATCCAAACATAAAGAGAACCTGCAGCACACGCAGGCTGAAGAGGAGGCCCATCTTCTCAGCCAGCAGAGACTCTTCTACGACAAAAACTGCCGCTCCTTCAAGAGAAGAACGATGATCAAGAGGCACGAGATGGAGCAGCAGAACATTCGGGAAGTAAGGCACTCTTCACTTCCTTTCCCAAGCATTTTTTGAATTGTTTTTGCTTCGTGTTTGTAAAACAGTTTGCTGACTGACATTAGATCTTCATGTTTCCACTTGCTCAACAGAACTGAGAAAAATGTAGGAAACGTGTTTTGGGCAATAGTCTTCCCCATGCGTGTGGCCGCTTTTATGAAGTGAGGAGGGGTGGCATAGCTGACTTGCAGGCAGAAACATTGTGTGGGCCACCCGCTGGGGGTCAGATGCTTCATCTGAGCCCCTGGGCATTCGATTTGGGGGATCCAGCACAGGGCAGTTTGTGCTGTGCTGAGTGCCAGGGCCCCTGTGGGATGGCTGTAAGGGCATCACGTGAGGAGTTCTACTGGTTGGCTAAAGAAAACTTACACCATTGAAATAAACCAGTAATAATCTTAAAAGAACAGTATTAAGGTTGCAGAATGAAATGCTACGAATGTCAGAAATACCAAAAATTAAATCCTCTTTGTGTCTGCTTTCTGGTTGTCCACAAATAATCAGATGTTGCTTTTCCACTGGGCTCTGTTCAAATTAGTGCACAGAATGGGCGATGGTTTGTTGATGAGAAGCTATTGAACATCTTGCTTTTGCTCAGGAGTTATTAGCCCTTGCCATACAGGCTGCCTGCAGTCAAATACCCCTTTGGAGAAAGAATTATTACTTGTAGATTTTTCTATCGTAGTCACTGCAGTTTCTGAATTCTTCATGAATGCTACTTTTGGATAAAGACTATGAGATGAGAAGGAATTTTAGTAAAGGCTGAGAGTGAGTGATCAAAAATTTCCAATAATCATGTACTTAGTCCGTTACCATCAAATTTTCCAGCGTACTTCTCATTGCCCTGTGTTTTACCTCTTCAGAGCTTTGCTGCCCTTGCCCCCAGATGTGCCTGGGGCTGCTCAGGTGCTTTGCAGATCACATCCAGGCACCTCAGCTCAGGCAGCCTGGAGATGAATGACTGAAAAATCAGCTTTGGGCACCCTTATCACAGGATAGAAGCTCTGTGGCAAGGATGAGAACAGAATGCAGTTACCTAACAGGGTATTTTAACCAGGAGGCAAAAGAGACCTAATTTTCAGAATGATCTAAGTGCTTATTTCCTGGAAATAACACCCCTACTAACTAGTCCAAATTTACTGGATCAGACAGCTGAAGTAACTAACACTTCAAGAATGTTTTCTCTTGATGTTTTAAGTGACCACACAGGTTCTTTTTGTACAAATGGGACAGTGTTGGGGAGAAGTGGAGTGTCTGTTTTTCACGCTGTCAGCTGAAATCAGGTGTGGAATGGGCACAAGAGGGGCTGGTGGTCCTGTCCTAAGGTGAAGGCACAAGTGCACAGGCTGACGTGCTGTCTTGAGTGTGCTGCCTGCCTTTGCACAAATGGGAGATGATTTCATCACAGCAGCAGATCTCATTTTTGATCTTGGCTGGCAAGGTGCAAGTTTTGCTTAAAAGTAAACACGTGTGACATCCTTACGGCCAAGAACGCAGAGACAAGACCTGGCCCTGTTTCCTTCCCCATCCTCCTCGCTTAAACCTGTCACAGTTGTAACAGCCAAAGGGGCTGAAGTGCCTGTTTGCAGGTGCTGATGTTGAGAATTGCAACAGGATACAACATGCAAGCAACAACTCAGAATAATTAGATTTTTTTTTTTTTTTGCCTCTACTGCAGAAACACTTTAGACTGAGCCAACGCTGAGCCCTCCCTGTGCTGGGCACTGTCCGTGTGCGTAGTACGAGGCAGCCCCCGCTGTGCCGTAGTCTGGCGTGAAGCATAGCGATGAGTTTGTAAACCCGAGAGCTGAAACTGAGATGTACCAGCAGAGCATCTGTGAAGGTCACCAGATACCAGCAAGGGGTACAGCTGTAAGCGCTGTTTGGCTGAGCTGGATTCAGCTCCATGCCCCACAGGTGGTTGTTGATATCTTGAGAAGGAAAGATTAGCAGTAATCAGGGAGAGAATCTGGTGTCTTTGGTTTGTAACTCAGTGAAGGTTTTCCTAGACTGCAGGAGTTCTTCTGTGTCCATTGCAAAAGCATGCGAGGCTTGGGCTGTATCCTCATTTTACAGAACGTGCTGCATCTAGGGCCAGACCCCACTGCACACCGTGGGAGATTGAGTTCTTGTCCTCACCTGATGTGAGGTGCTGGGGCGGCTCGCCTCGGCTTTGGCCATTCCAGGATTAGCGATGCGTGAGAAGCCTCATCGCTGAGGGTCATTTAAAACAGACAAATCAGAGCCCCCATTCTGTCAGTCACCCCAGACCCCCGAGCACCCCGGGATGTATGTGTTACAAACCTCAGTGACTCTCAGCAGTCGCAGGGGGCTTGTGTGTGGTCCCAGTGCCACCTGCTGGAGACTCCCCGAGTGACCCGGGAGCTGCCGGAGGAGCAGCTTCCAGGGGGATGGATGGATGGATGGATGGATGGATGGATGGATGGGAGGTGGCCACTTTATCAGCATTCCAGTTGTGCTGATGGGTTTGTGTTTCCCTGGGGCACATGGAGGTCCGTGATGCGGTCTAGAGGAGGGACCAGGACACCCGGCCTCGTAAACTCAACTCCTGTCTCTCGGGGAGAGAGAATCACTCCTTAGCTTTTGTCTTGTGCTCTGCTGTCCTCTCGTGCAGGAGTTAAACAAGAAGCGGACGCAGAAGGAAATGGAGCATGCCATGCTGATCCGGCACGACGAGTCGACGCGCGAGCTGGAGTACAGGCAGCTGCACACGCTGCAGAAGCTGCGGATGGACCTGATCCGGCTGCAGCACCAGACTGAGCTTGAGAACCAGCTGGAATACAACAAGCGGCGAGAGCGAGAGCTGCACAGGAAGCATTTCATGGAGCTCCGGCAGCAACCAAAGAACCTGAAGGTGCTGGAAGCTTTCCTTCCTCCTCTTCCAGGCTCTGTCCTGCCGGGCAGGCTGGTCCGGGTGCTTGCTGCCTCCTCTGCAGAACCGCTGTCCTCCACCAGCTCTGTGTGCTCTCTCGTGTCCCTTTCCTTTGCACAGGGCTGCTGTGCCGTAAGAAAGTTGTGGGCTACTGGAGCAAAGAGCTCACTGAAGATTTTTTTAAGTGCCAAGCTAATTGAGGCTGCTGGGTGAAAATAGGCGAGTCCTTAGCACAGTATTACAGAATGTGCTTGTGCTGAGCTGTGCTTTCTCCAGGCCCATGCTGGTGCCAGCCTATAAACGTCAATATGGAAAGGGGTTGAGTGATGGTCCCTGACTTTTGGAGTCAGCAGAGGGAGAGAACACGGGTGTGCTGAGCACTGTGCTCTCTCCCAGTTTGGCTGCAGGTCGATTAGAAACGTCTGAGCTCCTCGCTGGGGGAGATTTCTGTTCCCCTCTCAATATCCAAAAAGGCACGTTGCTTCTATGCAGTTTGTCCCACCCCTGCTAGATCTCAGACCTGCTCCGTCTGTGTAGCGCGTGGCTGAAGTAGGGGAGGAAGCTTGTGGAGGCCTTGAAAGAGCAAACGCTTTTTGGGAGGCAGGGTGACAGGCGGGGTGACTGGGTTGGTGGCTGTCTCTCACCATCCTGCCCGTTTGGATGTACGCCTCTGTTCCCAAAGCTCTTCATGCTCTTCACATCGTTCTTCCTTGGCAGGCGATGGAAATGCAGATCAAAAAGCAGTTCCAGGACACATGCAAAGTGCAGACGAAGCAGTACAAAGCACTGAAGAATCACCAGCTGGAAGTAACTCCAAAGAGTGAGCACAAGACAATTTTGAAGAGTCTGAAGGACGAGCAGACGAGGAAGCTCGCCATCCTGGCAGAGCAGTATGAGCAGAGCATCAACGAGATGATGGCCTCACAAGCGGTAGGTGCAGCGTCCCACACCTCCTGTCCCTGGTGGGGGGTCCCTCTCCCAGGTGCGTGGAGGGGGGGTGCGGTCCGGCCGTCAGTCCACGCAGCACGCTGTGTTCTTCCTGCCCCAGCCCCTGGATGGTGAGCGATGCGGTTCTGTTTATAACAATTCTAAATAACGCATCAGGCGGCACTTTCCCTCTTGTAACAAGCATCCCACAGAATGTGCTTCCTTTCCCTCCTGCCCCTCGCGTGCTGGGGTTTTGGAATTGGATGTTCTCTGAGGCTTCAGCCTCTGTGTGAGCGGGGAAGCAGCCGCTGCTGAAGCCCTTGCTGCCTTCCCCCTCTGCCACCAACACCAGAGGCTCCCTGGCTTTGGGAAGGAAGAGGTGTGTCACTGGTGTCGGAGCAGAGGAGTGACTAGGGGAGATCTGACTGTTGTTTTCCCGCTGACCTTACAGCTGCGGCTGGATGAGGCCCAAGAAGCAGAATGCCAAGCCCTGAGACTGCAACTCCAGCAGGAGATGGAGCTGCTCAACGCTTACCAGAGCAAAATAAAGATGCAAACAGAAGCACAGCACGAAAGAGAACTCCAGAAGCTGGAGCAACGGGTGTCGCTGCGCAGGGCGCATCTTGAACAGAAGGTATGTTTCGGGGGGGCTGCCGGGGGACCCGGATACACGTGTCGATCTCGCCTGGGACGTGGGGTTTGGCGCGGCGAAGCCGGTGCCACCTGGCCGGGAGCTGCCGTGCCCGGGGCCGTCCGGCTCTGCTAAGGGGCTGCTGACTGTGCTTCTTTCAGATCGAAGAGGAGCTAGCCGCCCTCCAGAAGGAACGCAGCGAGAGGATAAAGTTTCTGTTGGAAAGGCAGGAGCGAGAGCTTGAAACGTTTGACATGGAGAGCTTGCGAATGGGCTTTGGGAATTTGGTCACATTAGAATATCCCAAGGAGGACTGTAGATGAGGTTAAATTTCTTTGCCATTTAAACAAACAAAAAGCAAACAAAATAATGATAAAACTTGCAAAACCAACATTCCCCATGTTAACGGGCCTGCTCTCTCTCTTTCTGTCTCTCTTACTGACATCGTGTCGGACTAGTGCCTGTATATTCTTACTCCATCAGGGGCCCCCTTTCCCCCTGTGTCAAGTCCCGGTGCAGGACAGCTCCTGGTGGTCTTTTCCATAGTATGTCACAGTATTGATGTCTCTGTGCAATGATTAAAAATGTTTCAGTGAAAACTTTGGAGACAATTTTAATGGCAAAAAAAAAATAGTGGATGTATGTTGCTTTTGAGCAATCACTCATTTTACCACCAATCA